CTATTTCAGCTCCATGATACATTCAACACCATAAATCACTCTTTGCTTATCCCTCTTTTCTTCCCCATTCCAACCAGCCTTTTAAAATGTGCCTTCCCTGTTTTTCTTCCTTTTCTGTTAATGAAAGAAATACATATTAGTTTAGACTGTTTCAACATTATATAAATGCATAGAATATTAAGAAAGTCCATCATTATATGATCCCTTAGAGAAACATACAAGTAATACTTTTGAATATATTCTTGCATATACTGTATGCTTCTTTCTGTCTTCATTCTAGTATCTTAAACAAAAATGAAATTATAATATGCATTTGGTTTGCAATGTGCTTCTTTCACATGACAGTAATATCAAGGACACTTCTTGTGAGAACATAAAGAATTAACACCAATATTTTAACAACTGTATAGTATTCCATTGTTTAGCTGTCCAACTAGCCAAGCCCATTCATGAACAGTCCCTCTTGTGGTCCTTTCCACTTCAAAAACCACTTCTGCTATCAATTTTTGCTAAATCATAGCTTGTAGCCATTGAGATAACTTCTCTGTGAAGACCGGCTCCCATCTAAAAGGCAACATTCTCACAGTTGGATGTTAGGCTTGTGGTAACTCTGCTCAGTTTTTTTTTTTAAACATTTTAATTTTTATTTTAGGTTCAGAAGTACATATGTAGGTTTTTATACAGGCAAACAAATTACTCAGGGTGTTGGTGTACAGATTACTTCGTCACTTAAGTACTAAGCATAGTACCGGGCATATTTTTCTGAATCTCTTCCTCCTCTCACCCTCCACCTTCAAGTAGACCTCAGTGTCTATTGTTCCCCTCTTTTTGTCCATGTGTCCCCATTATTTAGATCTAGCAATTTTACTACTGGGAATTTAACCAAAGGAATATAAATTTTTCTATCATAAAGACACATGAATGCATATGTTCCTTGCAACACTATTTACAATAACAAAGACATGGAATCAACTTAAATGCCCATCAATGGTAGACTGAATAAATAAAATGTGGTACATGTACACTATGGAATACTATGAAGCCATAAAAAGGAATGAGATCTACTCAGCTTTATCTGTCAAAGAGACCCTATCTATTTTCTGGTTTTCTAGAATGTTGTCAAAATGCCTGATCTGATTATGGCACTATTTCTTATTTATAGCACTGAAATGGAGTTATTCAATTTAAATATTCCGTACTGTCACATCCATAAGATCTTAAGAAGAAGACGTCTGTCATTTTGAACTAGAAGATCCATTGATATTTTAAACTGATTAGTTTTGCATATAGCCACTGTTACCTTTGGGCTGGATTATTACAGTAACCTACTAATGAATCCCTCTATTTCTCTGTATTTTCTCCTCTACAGTCTACAGTATGCTAATTATAGAGCAATGAGATTTCTTTTTAACAATAAATTACTTCTCAAAAACCCTCTTTGGACTTTCAACTCATTCAGATTAAAATCCAAGGCTCTTATAATTGCCTACAGAGTTCTACATGATATGGTCACCCATTATCTCTCTGACGTTACTCCTATCTTTACTCATTTTATTCCAGCCACACTGGTCTCCTTTCTGCTCCTGAAACATGCCGGGCATGGTTCCACCTCAGGCCTCTTAACTTCTTGTTCTGATCACCTAGAATGTTCCTTTCTGATGTGGGTGCAAAGGTTAATCTGTCACTTCCTTCAGATCTCAGCTCACACATGTCAAGTTATTAAACAGACTTTCACTAAACACTTTATTTAAAAATTCATCTCCCCCTGATATTTTATCCCCACTCTGTTTCAACTGATTTTCTCTATTCTCTTTCAACTAATTTATTTATTTACGTCGGTAACCATTTTACATCCTACACACTTGATAGTTCATCTGTTTATTGTCTGTCTCCTCAATGGACTGTAAGCCTTATGAGGACATGGTTTGCTTGTGTTGTTTGATGCATCATTTCTATCCAGCACCTAGAAGAGTGCTTGATATATAGTAAGCATTCAACAAATATTTGCTGAATGAGTAAAGAAGTGAAAATAGAAAAGTCTTTGTTTTTAATATATTAATCCCCAAACTGAACATTTTACTACTATTTTATTGTTCCTTTTTTTTCAGTTGCTTCTTCTAGAATGTATCATTCTTACAGTCCTATATCACCTTCAAATAAATATAACCCTTTTCCAGTATTTATATCTAATATTTTCTATCTTTTCTAATTGCTGAATCTGGAAATGTGTAACAACACTAAATACTGGTGGTGATTTTAGGAGTTCTTGTTTTGTTTCTTACCTGCACAGGAGTTTCTTTAATGTTGAAGATTCGGGTTGAAGTTTAAAACACAAAACACACATATACACGAGCACACACATACACACACTTACCATATGAAGAATATTTTTTCACATAATTTACTAAGAATTTTACCAAAACAATAGTGAGTTTGGTTAAATCGTTTATTATAATTTAGTGATATGAGCATGTGAGTCTTCTCATTTGACTTACTATAAATACATTGCAATACTAGATTTTTCAATAGTGAAGTCTCCTTAAATTCAATGAACTAGCTTTATGTTGCCATAGTATTTGGTGAACTAATGGATTTGATGAACTAATGTGTCCAACTAATGGATTTGGTAAACTAACGGATTACATTCGTTTTTAAAGGATAAGTGGTATCGATTTACATGTCAAATCAGTCTCTTTTTGTTTTCTGTCATTTTACTCAAATTTGTTAATATTTTGCTGGCCTACTATAAAAAAAGAATAAATTATTTTCTCTTTATGCTGTGAAGCACCTCAAAGGTGGATATTCCTTGACAATGTGAAATATTTTACATATGAAACCATCAAATCTGTGTGTCTATTATCTGTTTATGTATGTGATATTTTTGCATGAAAAGATAGACCTTAAAAAACTAACATTTTTATTTCTAGAGTTAATGGTCTGGTCTGGTTCCTTATTTTTTATTGAAAAGTTTAGTTATTTGTATTTTCTGATTATTTTTTCACTCATATTTTACATTTACCTGTCTAATAAAGAAATCTGGGCCTGTAATTATTTCTTCTGTCTCACTTTTAGTAATTTGCATTTGTGCTATTTATTATAATGCTAAGGAAAGGAGTATTCTCCTCGGACATCTCTTTTGCTTTTTTCAAGACAGGGAACGTTGGCAGAGACCTACACTTGTGGCATTGAGGTAAGAACTTAAACAAGAACTAGCAGCAGCTGGTGATGTGGTGATATTCCACCGCTGTGAGGCTGTCAGGAATGCTAGTGCTAGCTGGGTGTTGGGAATACTGGGTACATCTCAGAGTAGGAGAATAAGTGGTCCAGAAATGACTACCTCTGGAACCCTGCTTTGTGAGCCAGGTCTGACTTTTCATTGTCCAAGAAGAGACAGCAGTTGAGCAATTCAAAAGCCTAATTAGTGGACCAATGTGAACAGTCTTACGGAGTCCTAGGTAAATACTTAGGAAGATTATCTGTGAGAAAAGTTGCCCTTTATGGCTTTTAGGTGGAGACTCAAAATCTTTATAATTTTAGTATTAAAAAATGTATTGTTGTCTCATGCTAAGGTCACAGCATTTGTGTAGAATAAGTTTCTATCATCCTATACCATTTTCTTCCTCATCCAGCTTTTTTCTTAACTTCCATTTATTTATGTGTTTGTTTGTTTGTTTGTTTTTTGTTTAGTGAGAAAGGGTTCTCACTCTGTTGCCTAGGCTGGAGGAGTAAGTGGCATGATCGCCACTCACTGCAACTTTGACCTCCTGGGCTCAAGTGATCCTCCCACTTCAACCTCCTGAGAAGCTGGGACTACAGGAGTGTGCCACCACCTCGGCTAATTTTTATATTTGCTGTAGAGATGGTGATTCCCCATTTTGCCCAGGCTGCTCTGGAACTCCTGGGCTCAAGCAATCTGCCTACCTTAGTCTCCCAAAGTGCTAGGATTACAGGCTTGAGTGACTGAGCCAGGCTTTGTCTCTTTTTATTGTTTTAAAGATCCTTCATATGTTTTCTGTTCTACTTTCCTCTGAAAAGACAAGATTCGTAGTGTTTCACAGCACTCACCTTCCCAGAAGTGAGAAATTTCATCCTGGGATACACAGCCAAATCTTCCCTGGTTTACGTTCTCCTGATGTCACAGAGGCACGTCCAATTCAATAAGTCCCAAATTAAACTGATCATTCTCCCCCATCCTATCTATACCTATTTTCTTTATTTTTATTTATTGTCACTATTCATTCATATTCAATCGGAGCCTGAGAGTCCACCTAAATTTTTTGGTTTTCCTCATCCTTCACGTGAAATACTGTTTCTTCATTTTATTTTCCCTCATTGTTTTGAATAACTTTCTCCCTTTCCATACCCCCCCCACTATCCTAGTTTAGACCTTCATGGTCTCCTTCTTGGATTTTCTTCAGTGACATCTTATACTTTGGATATAACTTAAACCAGCATGCAATAGACCAGGAAAACCTACTAGTTCCAGCTAAGTATCTAAGGAAAGTTGCTGTGTGTAATCCATCTCCAGATATACAAGTCTGAACTGTGGCTACTCTCTTCCTTTAGTGTGGCAGCATTTCTATTTCTTGCCCTCATTTTCTCATTTTCTTGTTCTTTGTTTCAGAACCTACTTGGTACTCTGACAACAAATCAAATTAAATCAGCCACAGGGGCTTAGAAAAAAAGGACCAAGATGAAGTAGATATAAGATTGGCAAAGAGCACAGAGTTTGGTGACACACTGTTGGCAGGGGTGTGGTAAAGCATGTGTGCATCCATTACTTGTAGGAGGTTACGGTGGTGGGAACTCTTTGGAAGGTGGCTTAGCGATGGCTATTAATACAAAATGAACTTACTCATTGACCCAGGAATTCCATTTCTAGGAATTATCCTGCAGATATATTTACGCTTGTACACAAAGATGTATACACTTAAGTAATCACCGCAGAAGAGTTTACAGTAACAGAAAACCAGAACCAACATAAATGATCATCAAAGGTGTAATGAAGAAATCAAGTGTATTCCCATCACACAATAGAACAGTATGCAGTAAAATTAAGTAGATACGTATAAGAAAAAATCTCTGAGATCTTGTGATTAAAAAGGCACAGATATGTACAGTACATTATTGCTTGTATAAAAATTGTAAACACACATACATATGTTCATATATATATATATATATATATATAGACTAAATCTAAATGTGTATTCACAAAAAAATATACTGGTGCTAATCTATGGGCAATAAACTAGTGACCCTGGGGTTTGAGATTTACTTTTAACTGTATACTTTTTATACAGTATGTTTTCTTGATCATGTGCTTGTATTAAAATTATTCTAAATTGGCATAAAACAAAACACAAAGACCAAGTGGTAAGTCTTAATATAGGTAGTTCAACATATGAGAAATAGCTGCACATATAAAATGATGTACATATATGCCTTCTCCTCACATGGGAACTAACATATGCAAACAGATATTCAAATATATTGTATATGTAAGTAGTTGTAAGTACATGTATATTGGTATAAATTAAAAATGGTTTGTTCAGTCATCTTAAAAAAACACCTAGCCATCCTACTTTACACAAGTATATTTTCATAATGTATTCCAGATGTTATTTTGTAATCTTTTAACTTATAACCATAAGTTTCATTTTCAAAAAGAGATGTACAGAATAATGTCTACATAGCTGATGCTTCAGATTCAGCCTCTGTCCTGGAAAGTTTTGACTTTGATAAATATGTTCCCAGAAAGACAAATAGAAAATAAAGCATATATTTAAGCATTAAGAACTTAAGTCTCCCACTTAATTGCTAAGATGCTGAACATATTTTATTTATTTTTCCGCAATACATCACATACTGGATCCAGAATTATCTATGTATACAGTAATAAAAAATCAACAACACCTACTCTCAGCACAACTGCCACAACTGGTTTTTCACTGCAAATAGCTACCTGAATTTAAAGAGTTCCCCCCCACCCCACCCCATACCTCCCTGATTGCCCTACTACATATATAGATCAATATTGAATATTTCTGAAAATCTGTAGCATAGAAAAGCAGGCCACAATACACTGGCTTTAAACAAGAATACTGAGGGCCTGAGGATAGTGATGGTAAAGTTTTACTGAATAACCAAAATTATTGATTAATAGTATGAACAATATTGTAAGATTTCTGACTAAGAACATATTTTTAAAGCATTTTACACATCAACAATATACAAGCAACAGACATTGAGTTTCCAACATCCAAATGAATCACACCCTAAAATGGTGTGTGCCACACTCTAGAATGGTGGCAATCTAGAACCTGAACTGTATTTTCTAATTAGAGTAAGGCTATAAATGATGGGTAGTTCCTCAGAACAGCCCCAAAGATGCTTTGTAGCACACATTTCCCTAAAACACCATACATCTAACATGTGTACAAGATCTGAATACTATTGCAATATTAATCAAACTAACGCACTGAATAGTAGTGAAGACTATGACTGCATCAGCCTAAAGAAGGAGGCTACGTGAATCTGTTAAAGACAGAACACAATTAAGGTTCAGTGAAAACTCTTTGAATGAGAAGGCAAAAATATACTGCTGTTGGGAAACGTGAATGAGAGTTTTAAAGCCAAAGTTTTGACTGTCCAAAGGACCACTTGTGCTCTCTCACACCCACTGCATTGTTCCAGTTCTCTCTTTCTCTTTCTTTCTCTGCCTAATACACGAGGCACACGTAAGTTGGACTGGTTCCACCTGGAAGACAAAAGCCACACAAAATTAAAAGCACAAATGCAGCATGAAGAAGGAAAGTGAGGCAGAACCGAAAGGTAAACCTGTGCACTTTGAGAACAAGGCGTCCATCCTTAGCTCCAGAGGCCGGCGTAGTTCCCATGGAGACCTGAAGGGAGAGGTCCCCCAGCTACAAAGAGTTTCATCTCGGGCCAGTTGTAGCAGTGGGTGTAGAGGGCGTTGGGGAACTCTTCCATGCCACCAAAGTAGTTCATCCAGACGTCATCCTGGTTGAGCCAGCCTCTGCCACAGTCGAGCTTGAGCTTCTTCCCTGCAGGTTCCGGAGTGGAGTCGAGGCTCGCGGAGGCTCTCTCCTCCAGGAACTTCTGGGCGCGGATGTCATAGAAGAGCAGGGAGCCATGGCCGGTGCCCACAGTGATCAGGTGGCGGTAAAAGCTCAGCGACCGCACGCCCGTGCCACCCTCTCGAGAGCACAGGGGCCGGATGTTGTGCTGGCGCTGGCGTGGATCCAGGAAGGACACGTGGGACTGAGAGCCCACAGCGTACACGGACAATTCATCGCAGTAGGTCAGGCATACATTCTCTCGGCAGTAGGGCAGCCTGATGGACAGCAGCCTGGATAATGTGCTCCGGGCTTTCCACAGGTGGAAGTAGCCATCCAAGGACACCGCTCCCAGCTCCTGGTTCTTGCCGCTGAAGGCCAGGGCCCGCACTTTGCGGTTGCTCGGGTTGGTGCTGGCCCTGGGTATGGCCTCCACATCCCTCGGACGAATGTGGGCATATACGGGGAGACCCACCTCACTGTGCCAGGCAATGCTGCCATGGAACATGTCCGGGTCCATCCGCCACAGCGCCACGGTGCCGTCGCGGGAGCCGCTCACAGCCACGGTGTCACTCAGCCAGGCGATGGCAAAGATCCAGTCCTTGTGGCCATGGCGGTCGCCCAGGCACAGGGGATCCAGGGTGGGCAGCCGGTAGATGGCCAGGCTGTTGGGGTTTTCGCCGCCAGTGGCTAGAAGCGTCTTGGAGGGATTCAGCTCGATGGCATGGATGCCGCAGCCATGATGGGCCGGGGCCAGGCCGGCATCCTTGTCCCGCATGAGGGGGATGCGTGTGATGTGGCCCGACTGCACATCCACCACGAAGAACGTGTTACACTTGGTGCCGCACACCACCTGCCTGGAGTTCAGCCACTGAGACGCGAACACCTTGTTGAGGGTGCCCAGGTCTAGCTGGCGCTCCGTCAGCAGCTCGGGCAGCCTCTGTACCGCGTAGCCCCGCAGCTCGCTCTCGAAGCCCTGGAGCCCCGCTGCGCCCCGGGCGCCTACCTCCCGGCCCTTCAGATAGTGCACCAGCCAGCGACGCGTCGCCGGCCGCCTCTGCTTCTTAGGTAATAGCGGCCCCTCTCCGTCCGCCGCCGCCAAGCCCTGCGACGAGGAGCTCCCGGCGCCGGCCTCGATAGCCGGCGCTTTCCGTTTCCTGCTACCTGTTTGCTGCTGGGCCGTGGTGGGCGGCGGGCGATCTGCCGCGGCGGCCGCGGCGGCTGCGGCGGCGGCGGCGGCGGCGCGGCGGCGGTGGCGGCGCGTGGCTCCAGTGTTGGCCATGGTGGCGGTGGCGGGGATGGCTGCGCTTCCGCGTCAGCCCAGAGCGTAGGGTGTCTAAGGCCAAGAAGCTGGTGCGATCGCGGGCGCCGAGACTTCAGAGTCTGAGGCTCAGTGGTGGTGACGGCGGCAGCGGCGGACCTGGTCACAGATGCGCGGCCTGAGGGAGCAGAGCGCGGGCAAAGCGCGGCGGCGGTGGCGGTGGCAGTGCAGACCTAGGCGAGAGCGGGAAGAGTGGCTGTCTGGCTGGCTGCGAGAGCGAAGTCAGTGTGGGGGAAGACTACGCAGGGGCCCTAGTGTGAAGGGCGGAGGCAGTGGGAGGAGCTGCTGGGCGGGCGTGGGGTGCCTGTCGGGTAGCGGAGGCCGCGCGGGGTGGAGGCTGGAAGGGGGCGGAGAGGAGAAGCGGGTAGCAGAGCTACAGGGACAGAGTTGCGGAAGGCCTGTACACCAGGACCTCCAGTATCAGACACGTGGCGTTTTGATACCCTCAGGACTACAGCTAACTACCCTTCTTAAAATCCCTACTTCCATAAAATCTGAAACCTAAGATATAGTCAAGCACGGGGCTAGAATACGGCCAAGCCACGATCTGTCTGGAGAAACTAGTGCGCGCTTGCAGTAATCTTGGGATAGCCTTCTCTTATATTAGACATTGAATTTGGCAGTGGATGGGGGGTTCAGCAGTGGCACGGAGACCTTGGTCCCTATGTCAGACCTGCGGCTTCTCCAGTTTCAGCTCCTAGGTTGATGTCTTAAACAGCTTCAACCAACTATGTTTTCTTCCCCCTTGTTTTCCCCCCTTTCTCAAACTGAAGACTTTGAGCACGGAATCTCTGAGGGATGCGTTCCAAATGCAGTTCCCAAGGCCCTGCTTTCCACCCAGATGTAATCAGGAGCCCTTTGGTGAGAAAGCAGCCTCAGGAGCATCGAGGGCTGCAGTGATGATGGGGGTGGAGACACGGGGGTGAGGGGTGAAGAGAAGAGTTTTCCTCTAAAGCACTGAGTTCTTTCAAACTTAGCCCAGGGCAGGTTGAGTGAACGTGAACAGGTCCAGGAGTGGGGTACCTCCCTCTCTCTCCTGGGAGGGGAAGGTCAGCCCAAACTTGCAGTTGTACAAATCTTGGCAGAGTCCTGTTTTGGTGCGGGGGCTCCCTTGGACATTGGTACAGTACTCAGAGGAATGCACAGGATTTCCACAAGCACATATGATAAAGAACTTTCCAAACTGACTAAATGGCAAAATGGTGAGAGTGTGAATGTTCAAAGCATGAGTTTGGCATTCTGCAGAGTCACATGATCCATATGTGCACTGAAGCTTTAGGGCAGTCAATCCTAAAGCAAGCCCCCAATTCCACAATAATACATTGTACTGAAATGCTGGTGGCTGATACCAAGTCTGCACAGGTCCCAGTCCTCCTCCACACACACACACACACACACACACACACGCGCGCGCGCGCACACATACACACACACACACACACACACAGTGTTTGTTAAGAGGATGTGCAGAGGTCACGTGGTGACTTTACTTTCCTTGAACAGAGATCATGAAAACTACTTTGTTGCTGTTTTTCCCCATTCTCCTTGCTCTTTACAACCTTATCTCAAGCCCAGAAACTCCAAGTACACCATTGGTCCTTCACATTTCTCCAGTTCAGCTGTTGCAACCTAGTGCCCATCCTCCCCTTCTCTACCTCAATAATCCTACCCTTGTTTAGTGCTGTATCAAGAGGAGGGTGTCGGTGACGGATTGTGAGTAACCTGAAAACGAAAAAAAATGCTCATGATTTCATAACTGGAAGTGACATTACAAGAGAATAACTGATCACCAATTTCTTTAACCTAACCAATCTTAAGGCTTTCTTCTTTTCTAAAAAAAAAATCCCATCTTAGAAAACTTTATTATATAAGACTTCATGGTATATTTTTTACTGTTGTGGTAAATAAAATACCCTAAAAATCTTAGGCTATATCAGACTAGTTGTTCATATATAACATATGTATAATAAATTGACTGAAATGTGTATGCGTGTGTATATATATATATATATATGTGGTTTATATATTATATATATATGTATGCATATATCCACATAAACATTTTGTTAATTTGTACAAATATGTGGAGTACATTAGGAATTTTGTTATATCTATATATGCCTAGTGATCAGGTCAGAGGATTTAGGGCATCCACCACCAGAGTACAATACATTTCTGTTAAGTATAGTCAAGCTATCTTGCTATCCAACATTGAATTTATTCCTTCAGTCTTATTGTATGCCTGTACTCTTTAACCCTTTCTCTTCATCCTCTCCTCTCGCCACTCCCATTCGCAGTTTCTGTTACCTATCTTTCCACTCTCTATCTGCATATGATCATATTTTTGTAGCTCCCATATATAAGTGAAAACACGGAATATTGGTCTTTTTTTTCCTAGCTTATTTCACGTAAGATAATGATCTACAGTTTCATCCATGTTGCTGCAAATGATATGATTGCATTATTTTATGGCTATTACATAGCACATGTATAGCATGTTTGTTAAAGTAAATAATGCTTATAACAGCTACTATTTATTGAAAACCTATTCATGTTCTGGGCTGAAAGGATGTGCTAAATGCTTCAAATGCTAAATGCTTTATGTACATTTAGCCTCACAATAACTCTATAACGTAGGTTCTATTCTTACTGCCATGTTTTAAAATGAGGGAAATTGAGGCTCAGGAAAGATAGTGACTCCCTAGTTGTCACACAGCTAGTAAGCGATAAAGTCAAGATGTAAATCCCTCTGTGACTCTAATGCTTTCGTGACTTAAGACTACTCTATTCAACAAACGTTTTTTTTTGTTTCCTTCTCTTAAAAATAATGTAAACTACCCCTATTGTTGAAATTTTACATGCTTTGTGTCTTCTGCTCTTCTTAAAGGTAACCGGAATTCATAAATAAATACTGAATGCAAATTATGTACAACACTGTCCATATAATATTTAAAGGCAAATATATCATCTCTGGGACATAGTTTTTACACATTTCTTTTAATCAATACTTATGAGATGCAGTAATATGTATTCACAAGCTTTTATATTTTTGGTAGAAATAACATCCACATAAATTTCCACTTTTTGTTAATATAAATACATAATATTTAAATATATTAATATGTCTGTAGGGGGTGGTCAGATTACTATCATGTATTAATAAATAAATTAGGTTAACTTCATCTAGAATATTATACCCGAAACACATTTCTTTTCTGCTAGGCTTTCAAATTTCTCTAAGCTCTTTACTTAAAGATGTACAAACAACTTCCAGTCCAAAGGCAAGATATGTTGACAGATGTACAGTTTTATATACGAACTTGCAATTTTGAAACTTCCTTGGCATCTGCTTTCTTCCAGGTATAGGAAAATACAATGTCTGCTAATATATAACTTCATGAATAGTGTGTTTATTGTTGAAAGCGTAGCTGCAATGGCATGTGATAAAAATGTCAGATGTCTGTATAGTTTTTTCAGTGCTGGGATCTCAGTTAGGTACTTCTACTACCTCTGAGGGCCACTGTGTATGTGAGTGTGAATATCTTGTCAGTCCTTACTGAGATATTACTATGTTTATTACTGGTTTTTGCTTTGTATTAGACTAGCCTGTCTCCCTACACTAGATTCCCCTGCATTGGATGGGGTCTTATATGAATGGCTTCAGGGCATTGCCTCATGCTGTTCTCTAATTACTTAATGTATTTAAGTTTTGTTTTCCCAATCAGATTGTAAACTCCTCAAAAGTTTACATGTTTTCTATTTCTTTGGCACTATCACACTATTAAAACTTGGGATTGACTTGTTGATAAGTAAAAAGAACTAAAAAAAAAAAAAAAAAAGAAAAGAAAAGAAATTGAAATATCCAACAAGTAGAATGTATTTTGTAATAAAATTACTTGAAGTGGAGAAAGTGAGGGATTTCAGTTGAAGTGTGATAATGCCACATAACTTGTTTGAATTGATATAGATATCTATGCTGACCTATTTTGACCTATATATCTACATATACATAATTTCATCAAGTTGTGTTATTTTATTATCTATATCTATCTCTCTTTTTATACCTATATGTATATATGTTTCCTTGAACCACTGGATGATTTCATCAATTGTGTCTGTCCACTTTTCTCATCTATGAATGAAAAAACGAGATGTCTAGCCAGTAACCAATATAGATTACCAATTAAAAATTAAGGCAGAATATTTATTTCCGTGTGGTATCATGAATATAAACTTGTTTCTAAATGTGATTTAAATCATTTTAAAAGTGTTAGATTTTATGTCCAAAACTAAAATAGTCTCAGGAAAAAGACACTGAAAAGTTGAGAAAAAGGTGGGACAATAATAAGACGGGTGGACCAGTAACAAGTCTGTTTGAATAAATTCTAAAAGCGCTTTTATATAAACTACAGAAAAATAGATGTTACAAATAAGGCCATACAAATTGGCGTATATTTTCAGATATAGAGGCATTTGCATTCAGAAATGTGATCATATAGTCATTTCCAATATGTTGTATATAGATATGAAACAAAGATGCCCTTAAAAGTATTTTGTGACATTTTGTTTACATTTGTATGCATAGCCTTTGGGTTATCTTTATCAGCAAGCATAAATATAAGACACTAAAAAAAGAAACATAGTTAATTAAGCTTGTTTTAAAATAACATGCGATAATGATATGGTTACTTACACCAGACACAAGACAAACTATTATTGAATTAATAAATTGAATAAATCTTCTCTTAATCTCTAATGATAACACAGTTGTAACATTTTCAAGCTGTGACCTTGTCAAGTCTCCTAAGATAAGCAGCTATGACCCTGTAGTCAGATCATTCTTCCAAACTTCATGACGCAGAAAGTGGTATAGATGACTCAGCAGGTTGTCTCTCTCTATGATGACACAACTAAAGGCATAGGCTGTCAGATGGGCTAAGATAGGGAAGACTTATCACATTATTGCATTTCCTATAAACAGAATTATAGGAAAGGAGGCAATTTTGACTCCATGACCTCTTCTATGCCCTACTCCTCTCCATGTTTTCTAAGAGGAAGCAATGTGTCATAGTCTAAGCTCGGGCTTTGTTTTATGAGAGGGTAGATTCAATGCTAGTTATGTTTTATGGGAGACACTACAGTATAGTGGTTATGTGAGTCAGCTCTGGAGCCAGATAACATATTTTGAATTCTGGTTCTATGGCTTGCTGGCCTTGGAACTGGGCCAATTATAATATTCCCTTTGCAATTATTCCC